GGGGGAAGATTGTGCTTAAGGAAGCATCATCTTTAGGTTAAAACCACAAAAGAAACAGGTTCTTAGTTAGATTGGAAGAATCCTTTGTGGTGCTGGAGCACTGAAAAACAGGCATTTTCTAAGGGAATTTGGGAACTTTAATGATTATTTCATTGATTTATAATAGTCAGAGCTTGCATCACTATGGCAATATTCTGAATATAACTTTGGCCTGAAAAACAGGTGTTGGATTGGAGAGAAAAAAAAAAAAGTGTACATGTGTATATGTGTGATATAATGTGCCTTGTTTCAGAGCATCAGGGCAGGATGGCCATGCAGCATTCAGAGATAGTCTCAGACTATCTACCATTTAAATAAAATGGTATGTTATTTGCTAACAACTTAATTGTTAAGTCTACAGTTTGCTGTCTCTTAAGACTTCACGAGAAGATAACTTGGCTGTCTTCCTTTGAGACAGTCTCTTCCCTTTCTTCCAGCAGAGTACTTTTTCTGTAAACTTACTGTTTTGTGGACCGTGGTGTGTAGTAATCTGGGGATAATAATTTGGATGCTAATAATACTCTTCAGAAGCTGTTATTTTTAAGGCACTTGACATTTAGAAAGAAGAACAGCCAAAGCCTACCAACTGAGTCTAAGTAGTTACTGAAGAAATAGCTACTGGTAAGAGTATTGCAAGAGCAACTGAATGTCAGGCGAGCGCCCTCGCCTGCCCAGCCTGGCCTCCCCGGGCCTGTGCTCGCCCATGGGCTCCCAGTTCAGCCCAGTCCTTGTCCCTGCTGCGTCACAGGTCCCCAGTCCTGCTGGGCGAGCCCAGCGGGGTGCTGCCGGGAGGCCGACCCAGCCCAGGTCCCAGGTTGCTGCCCTGTGCGGAGCCGCCTGGCTCTTGCTGCTCCCCGATGCCAAGGTGAGGGCCGCAGCATGGAGCTGCTTGCTAAGCTAGGGCTTAGCTGCAGCCGTCTAGAGCAGTTTTACAGCCAAAATGGGGCTAAGAGAAGGTTGGCGGGCATGGGTATGCTTTTGCAGGAGAGCAAGTGGTGCGAGGTCCTTCCTCGCAGAGTGCACCATCTTGGTGAGGCTTGGGCTGTCGTGCTTCTGGCCGCGGCGGGCTCCATGGAGTGAGGCCGAAGGGCTGGCCAGGGCGCAACATGCCGTGCTGGCACTCATGGGAGGTGACCTGCCTCTGCTGTGCTGTCCCTGTCTGCGAAATGTACATACAGCTTAAGAAGCAAGTTATAAAAGTAAAATTTTTTCAATATTTTTACATAGCCTTGAAAGTAAACAATGCATGTGCTTTTATCCTCCCATGTAACACTAATGGCAAAAGTTCCCACTGATTTCAGTGAGTGTGGAACTAGACTCATTAATGTTTCATATTATTAATTTCCAATAGAGTTTTAAACATCTATTAAAAAATACACTGTAAGATAGTATTCGTTTAGAGAATAACTTCAGTAAAAATGTATTTGTGTATCTTTTACCTTAGTATTGGCATATTTGTTAAAGAAACAGTGATTTGATTCACTGATCGCTCAGGTGCTTGTTGAATTAGGTAACAGGCTAAGAGAGCTTTCTCATTCACAGTGTAGGTCTGTTAATGCCTCTGTATTTATTCTGTTTAGTTTTGTGGGAATTGCTAGGATTATAAAAATGTAATATTTGGTTTAAACGTTTTAACGATGTGTAAAACTAGGCTGTGCCGCTTTCTCGGTCAAGGTGTTGTGGTGGGAAAGCAGGAATTAAGAACATGGATCAGCAGTGTATTAGAAGTACATCTGGCTTTTATTAGGTGTAAACTTCAGATCAGGTGCATTTGGGTGAAATATTTGCAGTAGTATAAAAAGTAAGAACTTTTTTCTTTTCTCATTGAAACAGCTTGCAAGTTGTTATGTTGCTCTATATAGTATGCTAATTTGAATTTGCTTTAGATTGCATACATAGGTAGTATGATCTTGTAGACTAAATGAGGTAGATAGTAATGGAGAAAATAAAGACTGAACCTTTTTTTTTTTTTCCTTGTCTGTGTGTGAGAGAGTAATTAGCTTGGGAAGAAATGTTAAAAAATTGTAATTAATTTAGATTTTTTTAACCTGCTAGCAGTATGTCCCCTAAGAAAATACTTTACCCTTCTTGTTTTGCTGTTATTTCTGAAACTAGACTTAATGGCGCCTATTAAATAGTATGTTTTTTTTTTAATTTTATACTGTTCTGCATTGATAGCAAAAGACAATGAACCCATAGACTGAATTATTTCTATTCATAGTGGCATAATTGGTCATACAGACTTTCCTGAAGTAAGTAAATACTTCTTTGATTTGGATACTCACTGTTGTATAATACATGGAAGTATTGCACAGTAGTATATCTGAAGACAAAGCTACTTGAAAGAGATATTTAAAGATACAGCGGATATATCTGTGTTCTTTTTTAATTTTTGCTTAGAAGCCTAAGTGTTCGTGGTTCCTGTTGTGTAAAAAGTCGGTATATGTGACAAAGGGATGTTATCAAAATGTCTCTATTGGGTTAATAGTGGCTAGCTTATTTGCTTCTCCTGTTGACTGTAAGTAAAAGTATTAAATCCAGAATTCTGTCTGGAATAGAATATGGAAGACTCTCCCTGAATTATGCCAAAATATTTCTTCTTCGCAAATGAGGAAGTGCCTGAAAATTAAGAAAGTCATATTTTCTTTGGAGGAGAGGGAGAAAGGGAATGCCACAGCAAAATTTACAGGTGGTTTAGTAGAAAGGAAGACATGAATTTTTCTTTTTCTTTTTTTCCCAACTGTTGTAGAAATCAGTATGAGCTATTGTGACACTTATAAGAAAGAGCTCTTGAGAGAAAAAGCGACCATACACATGTTTTTTTTAATTCTGTCGTACTTGGAAGGATTTTGATTTCGTTTTGGCCATCGGGGATGTAGAGAAAAGCGCACTGTGTGTGGTTATGGGGGAGTGGAAGGCACATGAGGTTTCTGGTTTTGTCACAAAAATATTAGACAAAAACTAGTCTTTCTTTTTGATATAGTGCTTGCTCTCCTTCTTTTATTGGTATTTGTTGTGTTTGGGTGAGGAAAATCATGGCTGTGCATTTGGCAGGTAGATAAATGTATGACAAAAGGCTCTTTTGCCTTTACAGGCTGACCCTATCTTATCCTGTCTATATCACTTAATTTTCCTTAGGAGCCAGGACTCCCATGTGAGAAAACTTGTTTAAAAGCACCACTTAATTCTAATTGTCTGAGCAATCCATTGATTTTTGCATATTTAAAATAGATCTTGTCGTTAGATGCTTGAGCAGGTCGGGGTTTAAAAGAAAATGATTTAACCTTTTTTATTTATGACATGTAGTTAGTCTCTGCCTCTCTGAGCATTGCTGTATTTTCATTGTCGTGTATGTTAACTGCTTTAGAAGCAGAAGGGAGAAGTTGGATCAAAGCTGCTTGATCCAGTCCCTTTGATTTTTCTGGTGGAATATGCTACGTGCCAGGAATTCAAAGGCAATTTGAGGCCTTGCTTGACTTTCCAGTATTCCCATTATGTTTTCCTCTGTCTGTTCTCAGTAGCATGCTTTGATAAGAGTCCCGCACAGATTTTCCTTTGTGAAACCACGTTCTCAAAAAACAATTTATACCTCTTCATTGGATTCTACTGACTTGCTGGCTCATTTTATTCTTGTAGCTAAAGAAAGGTTCTCTGTGTGTCCTGTCCTGATATATGGATAAAAATGCAGTTTTCCTTATTGTAGGAAAACCTGTAATTCAGAATCACTGTATCCTTCTGGTTGGAAGGGACCTCAGAAGGTCTCTAGTCCAACGTCCTGTTCAAAGCGGGATCAGCACTGAAATCAAACCAGCTTGCTCAGCCCTTTATCCATTTGGGTCTTCAAAACATACAAGATTTCACAACTTTTCTGAGCAAGCTGCTCCAATGCTTAATTATAGTGAAGAAAAATTTCTTGTATCCAACATGGACTTCCCCTGTTTGAATTTATGACTATTGTCTCTCGTTCTCCCACTGTGCGCCTTGGGAGATGGACCCAGGCTCTTTACTTGGTTGCGTCCTCTTAAGTGTTTGAAGGCTGCTATTAGGTTTCCTTCCCCCAAGTCCTCCCTCCCTCTTCAGGCCAAATGAGCCCATCCTCACAGGGCTTGGCCTCCAGCTCTCTGACCATCTTGGTGGCCCTCCACTGGACTCACTCAATTTTATCAACACCTTTCTTGTACTGAGGAAACGAAATGGGACATTGTATTCCAGATGCAGTCTAAGGAGTGCTGAGTGAAGGGGAGCAATAGGTATCTTCAGGCAAAGCTCCTGTTCTGGTATCCCAGGATATTCTTGGCCTTCCTTGCTGCCAGGACACACTGCTGACTCATGTTTAGCCAACCGTCTGTTAGGACCCCTAGCTCCATTTCAGCAGAGCTACTCTCCAGGTAATCAGTCCCCAGCCTGTCCAAGGGGTTAGTCCATCCCAGGTACAAGACTTTGTCTTTATCCACGCTGAATTTCAAGAAAAGTGCGTGCACGATGAAAAGGCTTGGGAAGTGTATTCCATAAGCTTGTGGAGTTGAACATGCTATCATAGTCTGTTTTTTTTATTCTGCCATTTTAGAAACTTCTTCCTGAATTATACCAAAATTAAAAATATTGTTACAATTTGTAATGGACTATACAAATCACTTTAAATATAGTTTCAAATTTTGACATAAATTATTAATAGAATAGAAGAAAAGAAAAAGATGCAATTAAGATGCAATTTTGAGCATGCTTAGTGGTTTATGCGTTACTCTTTCACACGTGCTTATTTTGCTTAGTTCCTTGGTGGTTTGCAGTGATAACCAGAATGTTGCATTTCTAACAAAGCAGAAGCGTCACGATAATGAAATGTTACCCATATGCATATCACCTTTTACAAGCAAAGTTCTAGGGTTCCATCCACTAGTACTTATCATAATTAGTGTTTTAATGTTTTTTGCTTTCTTACATTTTACATCCATTATTTTTCTAGGTATTGCCAGACTTCTGAAGTGGTTGACCAAGATCTAAGGACTTAGAACACAGGTGAGTAAAACAAATACAGATTGCTTTAGCTGATGTTTTTGCATGCTGTGTGGCTCTGAAGTTTGACTGCTGCTGGAGGGATGGAAGATATGCAGCAGATTATTCCTCTTAAATATTTTTATTCTTAGCCTAAATTTCTGTCCAGAGGATTCATCTTATTTTTAAGCAGAAATTTTAAGAAGGTGAAGAGGATATGGTCTCAGTGATTGCTTTTGATAAGTGAAACTTATTTTCTCCCACCCTTGAGTTAGAAAATACTGAACTTGAATGACTAAACTTGAAATATTTCAAGCAGAATAATTTAACCTATACTTGTTAATGTAGTAACATACACCGTAACCTGTTGTATTAAATAAGTGATGCCTGAATATAGATTTCTCAAACTTATGACAGTACATGCATTGAACAATTATCAGATATGATTCTAAAATACATGAAAGCCTAGGGTGAGTTAATAAATTACTGAAAGCTGAATTTTTTTCTTTCTTTAAACGCCCAAGCTTATTTCTGTGGTTCTTAGTTCTCTCTGCAAATTGGGGTGTCCTTTGTAAAGACAGATTATCTCATTGATCCCCTATGCCCTGCTTATTGCTGTTCCTTTGCATCCTGTGTGCCAATTGTTTACCTGCTGTGTGACTAGAGAAGCACGCAGGGAGAGGGTAAGGAAGAACTTTTAAATTGTCAAATAATTTTTCAAGTGAATTTTATGTACTGGTATGGGTTTTGATATTTACATTAGTTCAGGTAGTACTCTAGAATGAATGTTACAGGTTCTTGGAAACTTTGTATGTATTCAATTATTTAGGATATTTTTAGTTGTGGAGACAGATCCAGACAAATCCAAACAACATTCAAGTTCCCATTGAAAAATCTGAATTCTCTTGCCTAAAGTGGTAGACTTAATAGGATCCCCATTTAAACTTCAGGAAAATGAAGAACTATGCCAGAAATAATTCAAACCATGTTATACCTCATCAGCTAGTTTCATTCCCACTTAAATACCCATATGTGTATGGATCTATGTGACTTGCTTCACCTTTGTGATATTTCATGCTCTGTGCAAGTTAAGTGTTCCACGCCACACAAGTGCTCCATCATGTTGAAATCAAGGTGTTAATCCAAGAGGCATCACTCTGCTATACCGATCATGTGAACCCACAAAAAGCTCTAACAATTAGAAAGATTCTTTTCAAGTGTATAAGGGAGAACTCCGGTCTGTGCCTTTTTATCCATAAACTCTGATAATAACTGGCCAGGTGACTATTGGCCCACTATTCAAAAGTCACCAGTCCTAAAATTCTGAAAATAAAAACTATCCTTCAGTCATGCTTAACATATCTATATTTTCAGGGAAATTAAAAGAAAATAAGCATAGTGCTTTAAAAAAAAATCCAAGAAACTTGCTTATGACTGCTGCTTGTTGGTGACTCAAGTGTATTTAAAAGTAATCTTATAAACAACTTACTAGCTCATGTGAAGCAACTTCTAATACTTTACTGATGTTTAGTTGCATGGTTTCGAGCTGAAATCATTTCCTCCTTTACAGAGTGCTGATACTTGTTATTTTATGGTTAATATGGTGGCCCTTCTGGTGGGATGGTCTGACATGGGGTTCTGATTCATCACAGAATTTGAGGATATGCTTAAGGGCTGTTGAAAAACAATTAAAATGCTATTTGTGTAGAAGCTAAGGAAGTGCTTAAGAGTTTTGTTGAATAAGGGAAAAGCTGAAGCACCACCTTTTGTTAAATTGGAACCTTGCTCGTTTTATGGGTCACCAAGATGCCATACAGCACTTTCACAGCTCTTGTTAGGAATGAAGACTGAACTGTGTACTTTATGGTACTCTGGCCATGATACATCATAGGCAATTTATACAGCTTTATGCAACTATGAATATAAGGATTCATTCATTTGATGCTCTTTAAGGAGCTGGTAGTTGAGAATAAAGAGACTTCTTAATAATTTAAACCTGCTTCCTGGATACTATTGCAGATTAAGCATGAGTTATTTCACAGCAATGTGCCTTAGACCAGTTAGGATGGGAACCCTATAATGCTTAGCAACATAACAAAAATACTAGCACATGCATAAAGAACGTGAAGCTAACTTAAAGACTCGAGCAACTGTCAGCAGATTGCATAGTTAATAAGGTTAACTCTGTGCAGATGTGATACGTTGGAAGAAATCTGAAATTGCAACTTTTTGCATAAGTAAATATGTAAATAGTTTACAGATCTGCTGCTGAGCCTGGCTATCTGAATTTTCTTCATAGGCGTTACGAAAGTTGTCTTGAAGATGCATTTGAAAATAGGAAAACACTTAAAAACAAGGATTTTCACTTCAGTTGCAATTCTTTGAAAGCATTCTTAATAAAATTGTAAGTGGAAACAAGAAATAAATAACAGATCAAAATGTAAAGGTTAAAATTATTTTCTGATAAGCTTTTAATTAAATCTTTGATATTTTACTTACTCTTTCCTTTTCTCCCTAAGGTTTCTATTTAATTTTAATAGCATTCACTTACTTGTGAGTGAATAGCATTCACCAACTTGTATGTATGCTGTCTTGTGTTGCAGTACAGGCTTATATGCCATTTTTAATACACATTTTGTTTGAAAGAGGTTGCCTAAGCTAAGTTGGGCATGGATGAATCAAAACTTTGATGTAACATTGTTCTTTTGATACGCTGTTGTTACCTGTGACTTGGAACAAGTATTCTGCTTCTCTGGGAATATTTTCAGCAATGAAATATAAGATCAGCAATTCTTCTCTTGATACCACTGGTGACAGGTCATACTAATTGGGAGTAACTGAAAATGACAAACACATGCATGAAAGGCAAACACTGAAATTGGATTAGGCAACAAATTAGGGTTGTATTTCTGGCCTTGGAAACAACTGGGAGAAACCAAGGTGAAGTAAAGCAAGTAAAGTGTCTTTCTGAAGATCTTTGCTTCTGTCCTGACAGCCATCAGAGAGAGGACAGCCATGGCTTGCTCAGGGTTTTCCAGCTGCCATCCTATCCATGTATTGAACCATATAATTTCTTTATCTGCTTCATGGCGGTGTTTGACTTCAAGAATTATATTTTAGGGTTCTGATGAAGCCTTGTCATATCTCAAGCTCAAAATAGAAAAATTCTTAATGGTTTTGATGTAACTAAAAAATCACTATGTGGTAATCCTGCTTTCTTCACAATGGAGGGATACATATGGAGGCAGGAGGTGGTTTTTGTATTTTCGTTTGATTTGGGATTTTTGGTTTTATATATAATAGTATGGAGGTAGGGGATTTTTTCTCCTATGGAAACAAAAAATGGAGCTGTAGCCAATGTTGCTGGTTTTATTTAGGTTTTGTGTTTTGGTTTTTTTAACAGCCAGAATAAATAGCAAGTTATATACATTTGTACTACTTTTTCTATATGGGCTTTAATATGTGAAGCTAATCACAGCAATCTCTCTTCTGTGTGTGTCTTTTTTGATTTCAGACAGTTTGTCTTTGTTCCTTCTTTGAGAATTTTGATGTATTTTAAAATCACTGACCTAAAATAGTTCCCCATTTCTGTTTAATAGAGACAGAAATAGCAGTGGATCTTTTTTTCATAACATTTCTTTGCTTTTGTGTATCATTAGAGGGGAGAGAGGATGAGCTACTGAGTTGAGAAAATATTAAGGTTAAGAGGTCTTTCCTTGGGAAAGCATCGGGAACTTTCAGATGCTATAAACCAGGCTGAACTGATAATTTGCTTATGGAACAACAAATGATTTTATTTCTAAAATTTTATGCAGTTCTTGACATGGGGGTGCCATGCTGCAAGCAGTGAGTAAATAGCTAATGCGGCTGTAGGCAGGAGTGTGGCTTAGGGCTGCCTGTAATGACCCTTGCATTCTCTTTCTACCTCCGTTTTTAACCTGCTAAATTACATTGAGTTATTTCATTTTTTACTCTTTTTGTCTCTTTAGATTTCAAGTCCTTTGGTCCAGATACTGTCCCTCAATGTGTCTTGCTATGCTTTGGTGTCTGTGCATGCCTTCAGCTGTTGCGTGACTATTTTCACTTACAGAATTTCTTTCATGCTGTGACATTAAATCTCAGGGGCTCACTGTGTGACATGGCATCTTGAAGACACTTGATTATTCATTCTGAAAGAAAAAGGCTAGTCTAGAGTACAGTTTAGTTTTGCAGTTAGTCTTACGCAACTGCAGGCTGATGCCAAAAAGGGCAGTACAACTTCAGATTGTTCTTTTCCTCTCTTGCATCAGCCCCTAGCCCTGAGGCGAGTTCAAGGTAAGTAGCTGATTCAACAAAAAAACTAACTTCCTGGCGAGGAAAGCTACATCAGATAACTGTGTTGGCCTGGCTTGTCCTGTGGCTGTGAAATTAGTAGATTCAACACAAGGGACAAACAGGGAATCAGCAACTGGAAGTAGGCGGTGAGAGTGGTACTGTTTTTTTCAGCAACGAGTAGTAACTACACCAGATGAGATGTAGCATGAGAATGATTGCTCCCGAGAGCTGCATTTTACAACTAGATTTTTCATGTAGGAGAACAATGGCTTGTGATGGGTTTGACAGCCCAGCTTCATTTCTGCTGATGTTAGTTGCTGCTGTTACATATTCGTCACTGACAGTATTTTTTTTCTACTATTGCTTTATAATTGACTTTTCTGAAGTAGCAATCATCTTTGTGATCCACATTGCACTTTCTAGGCATATTTCTGATGCCTATTTATAACTTTTGTTTTATTCGTTATTAATTTAAATTGAAGTCCACTTAATATTGCAAATTGAGCTGATGGAAGCTGCCCCTGATGTGATATATTCTGCAGTTCTTATATATTCATGATTTCCCCTTTAAACTCTGAAGACACTTCATTTTTCTTTGAAAATGACTTCTGTAATTCAAGTTGACTTTAAAGGGCATTTTTCACCCACTGTCCTTTCTCTTAAAATGTATACACCAGATTAGATTGGTTTATTTGATTTTACTTTCTTTG